GAGTCACCATCCCTGATGTGTTTAAAAACTGTCTGGATGTGGTGCTCAGGGACATGATTTAGCAGAGGGTTGTTAGAGTTAGGGTAGAAAGGTTAGGTCATGGTTGGATTCGATGGTCTTTAAGGTCTTTTCCAACCTGAGTGATTCTGTGATTCTGTGAATATAACATACTGGCAAATACAGCTCGACTGAATTAATTGAACTAAACTTATTTCTAAATGGTTATCTTCAATGGGGTTCTAGTATGTTTTAAATGCAAAGCCTTGGGAATTCAGATCAGCTCTCTCCTGAGCGTCCTCACACAGAAATAGTTTCAGTTGCAGTGCACATTACGTGCTCAGTAAAAAGGGGCACCTTGTTTCAAGTTGGCTCTGAGGCAGTTACTATAATTAATGGTACTGAAGGAGCAGGCAGTGGAGTTCTGGACTCCTGAGCCTTTTGTGCGAATCAGAGGTCCATGTCCCTTTCCCAGGCACATCAGTGTTTCATGGATGATATGCTTTGTGGGAAATTCACCTAGACATGCGTCCTTTAAGTAGGAAACAAATACATCCAGGATTGATGTACTCCACGGGGTTGGTTTCTCAGATAATTTCTGTAGAAGTGCTCATGCTGCTGTGGCATGGAGCAAATTTACAGTTATGGCAGAAATGCATATTGTCTGTCTGGGAGCAAGAACACAGCTGTGTGTGTGCAATCTGATTTGAGATTTCATCTACTTATGATTCAGTTGTGAAACTTAATTACTGCATTCTAAGGTCTTCTGTAATAAATGTGTTTTCTTAACCTACAGTCTCTAAGCTACTAGACTAAGAATTGTGTTATAGCTGAAAAACTATTTGGGAATACTTCCATCATTTTTTGAAGTAAAAACAGAATAGCATACTAAGAAGGCAATTTGTCCAAAATCAGAAGGGCAGGTCACACGGTCTTACATTGTCAATGTGTTTTCAGTAAGTTTGTGCCTTTTTGATTAGAATTGGGGTGGGGAAGTTTATTGTTCTATTTTTTGAATGGACTCCAGGTTTTGGGCAGTCTCATCTGAATGTCCACTGTTCTGTACTGCAGCTGATTTCACGCACATGAGGTACGTGACAGCTATTAATAAAGAATTCAACATTATCTAAGCATTAAGATAATGCAGGCATCATGATATGGTATTGCCTGTGTCCTTTAAAATTCAGAAAAACTCTGAAAATCAATCAGTGCGCCCTTGGGATATAATTTCACTTCTCTTGGCAAAGAACATGGGTTTGAGAAAGGCATTTTAGCATGTAAGCATTTTTTTTTTATATATATAATAATATCCATATTTAATAAGAGTAGGCACAAACTAAATATTTTCAGTTATATGCAGTTTGCCAAACTTGTTAGGATGCAAATCACTGAGCAGGTAATTTTCACACTTACCTTTTAAAGCCAAGTAATGAAACGTATCCCTGCTCCAAAGCATTATAATCTTCTTTTGTTTCAACAAGAAGAAAATGTTAGTGCATTCTTTTCCTCTCCACTATGTAGGATAGAGTTGCTTTCCTTGAATATTGGGGCACACCAGTACCTGCATGGTGCATAAACTTGTGCCATGTTTAATTGCGTGGACACTTATTTTTGCTGAAATTTCTGTGATATTTTCAAAATAAAGTAAGGCAGATTACATTTAACGAAGTCCATAAATACTGAATAGTATCAGGGCTTTGTCTTCTGTATCTCAGGATTTTACATCTGTTCGAGTATTCCTAACTCTAAGCAAATCTGAGAAGCTTTGTCTTCAGTTAACGTGGGGGCATATGGTAAGGGATTCTCTTACACAGTCCTATGTGTGTGCATCTAAAGTAGCTTAAAAATTAAATATCTTGGGTAAGTGACAGATGCTTCAAGCAATACTGATTTTTCTTCTATGTTTTGCAGCATGCACAGTCAGTGCAAATTTAGGTGTTTTCTTTCTTTGTTTTTCTTATCTGTCACTACATCACTGTTAAGCAGTTGTGGCAGGTCCTCATTGAATTTAATGGATAATAAACTGCTTTGTGCAGTTCTGTAGAGCATAACAAGCACGTACAAAAAAAACCCCACAAAATCATACGTTTTCTGAGTGGCAATTGTTGCAGTGATTCTTTCTTTGAAAATTATTTGCATTGTTGGTTTGTCAAATATTTACGGAGGTCACCATACAGCATGCTCAGAGAGCTACGGCACTACTAGCATTCTGCAGTCTGTCGGCCATGCAGTGTCCCAGGTCCCACAGCTCTCCCAAGGTAAAGGTGGAATTTATTGTGGCCCAAGTTTTCAGTCACCACAAACCAAGCAGGACTGAGTTGCTGCTCTTTGCCCAGCTGGTGTATTTTGTTCAGGAGCTCTGACTCCAAAAGCAGATTAATAGGAGCCAACACTCATCTGTTTTCCTTGAGCTACATGGAAACTGTGCCTGACTCACTGCTTATTGCTGGTGCTGCGAACCAGTGGTGGTTGTGATACAATTTCGCTCTGTGGCATTTAGCCTTCTGCAAAGTGTTAGGCTGTTCAGATAGGGAGATATTTGAAATGCACTGACTTTTACAGCTACTAGGGTACAGTAGGAGAAAACCAGAAGCAGGGGAAAAGCTACTACCTTCTCTTGATAGAAAAGTGACCAGTACAAAAGTGTACTGACTAGTATGAGAGGGATGGACATACCAAGGTGTATGGAACTGCTGAGTCACGGCCTGAACCTCTGATTGATCACCTGAGGCGAGCAATGAGTCAGCCCTGGGAGCACAGCTGAAGGCAATTCAACAATTCACCTGTGCTGCTGGAAGGGGTGGAGCCTGGCTGCACCTCTCCTAGATCCCATTTTAGGGCTGGCTACCAGTGGGGAAGGATCTCTTCTGGAGATTGCCTCTGCTGGTGTTTTGTGGGTGAGCCCAGGATATGAGTAAGCTTTCTATCTATTCTCTTTTTGTTATCGTATTCTGCTTTGCCTAACTCTCTTGTTTATTTCATAATTATAACATCTCAATATTCATTGATTATACACAATGAGAGCACTGTAGCCAGCATGTATTTTTTGTGAAGTCAAAGACATGCCAACCATAATTATCTTTTTGTGTCATTCTTCAAGCTAGAAGAAGTGTTCCATGTAGCAAATGTCCCAGTGCTGGACACCATATGTTATAATCGCCATCAGGACTTTGACTGTGGTGTGCTGTGTGAACCTAAGGGCTAAACACTCAGTTATCTCCAGAGCAGTAACTGAGAAAGAGAGCTTGAGGGTCTAATCTGCGGGTTTGCATGTAAAGTGGTACTTGAATGACTGCACCCCTGTTTGGATCTAGTTAATAGTGCATTAGGAACTTTGAAAATGTAAACATTACGTTACATGAGTCTTGAGAGCATTTGATATAAATGTTTGTTCTAACTAGAATAGTTCTATGTATTAGGGAAGCAGATAAATGATGAATGCAGAAAGACTTCTTTTTTCCTTCTTATGTTAACTGTTCTTCTGTTCCCTTATTTATAGTCAATGAAGAAAAACTTAGCATAATCTTATTTTCATAAGTTGTTATACTCGTGTGATTTTTATATTCCTTTTGCTGTGTTTTAATCAGACGTGCTCCATGCATGCAATAAAAAGACAGATTAAGTATTGGCACTAGGACTTCCAACTGAGCTCTGGAAATACTGCTGTCCAGCTGGCTCCAACTCATTCATTCCTACAAATAAAAATGCTACACATCTAAAATCTAACTGACTATGCATCTAATGCACGTTAGTCAAAGCAGGCTTTCCTCCTCTCTTCTTATGTACCTGTAATTCACAACTTGCCTGTACTAGACAAACTGTTTTTCCTTTGTGGTAGAAAAAGAGTCGCTAACTAGATAGAAAAGCCATGAAATGGAAAAGACTTCCTAGAATAGTCCAGTGCCTGCATACTTGGTAATTTTGAGAAGTCTAAATCTGAACAGAAAATAAAAAGAATGCATTAATACCTGAAAGATTAAACAAGTAAGGATTGAAGCAATAGACACTTGTACATACTCATTTGTAGGGTACTTCTGATAATTGTTGAAATGATGTTTTTTATTAATTCATACTTGTGGCTGGAGGTTTCTGAATTGGCAATCTAATCTCAGAAATGCAGCAGCTTCATTTATAAAATGAATGTGAATGAACAGCAGGCTTTGCATGTAGCTGGAAGCTTTATTACTTCTAAAAGATAAATTTTCTTATGCATCTGAACGCAGGGAAAAAAGTGGTTTAGTTATGTTGTAAAATGAAATTCATGAAGGAAAACTGAAGTCTTGGATAATTCAAAATTCTTTTTGGTTTAATTAAAATCAGAACATGTCAACAGACAAGACTTCTTATAAATTGTATGTAACTTTTAATACCAGTTTAACTTAGACTTCTTGTTTTGAATTCAAATCAAAATGTTTTATTCTTGAAACATTAAAGCATCCTGGTTGATGTTTCTACTGAGTTTCCAAAATTAAACTTCTTTGAAATAGCTTAAATATAAAAGTTGATGAAAATGTTTTTTATATGAAAACCAAAACAAGCAAATCTCTAAATCTGTGATAAACCCTGGAGATATGGCTTAGTCTCATATAGTTGATCTGAATGCTAAGATCATATCTAAAAATTATAGGGAACAGAAACATAATGGGGGAGGGGAAATCGCAACTCAGTAAAATTGTTCTGCAGCAAAGGTAGAAGTTTGACAGTTAAAAAGTATTCTATAACATGTACAGGTTCAAGGTTTTTGTCATCAAGGTAACAATGAATTTTTGCTTCCTTGCATGTGAGTCCATGTACAAAGCTAGCAAAACTCAATTTGGTAATGACAGAGTGATTTCCAGGAATGGGAGGCAATGCTTTCTCTTACCTCTGTACCTTGCCTGCTCTCCTCCTGGTGCTTAATATAACCTCATGGTGGGATGGGAAACATGTAACAGGCTTCAAGAGATTAAATAAATGTGCTGTGCATGACCTTATGATAACATTACGTGTTTTCTACATTACAGGTATCACAGAATCATAAACTAATTGAAGACAGAGTGAGCTTCTGGAAATCACTCCTGAAGCAGCATCAGTTAGAGAAGGTTGCCCAGGACTGTATCATTGGATTTGGAATATCCCAAGGATAAACTCCACAGCCTCTCTGAACTACCTGTTTCATCTCTCATCCTCTCACTGGGTACCACTGAGAAGAGCCTGACTGCATCATTTTTTGCTTCTTCTTGTCAGGTATTTATGGGTAGTAATAAGATGCAGGAGTTGTTTTGTACTAATTGTTTTTATGCCTCATGTTCAAGTGGGTTACTTCACATTCCCTTGTGATTTAGGAGTAGTTTCACTTAACGCTCTGTGTACAAAAAGGCAGTATGGCAGGGAATGAACAGCACGTCTATCTAATAGCAGCAAGGCAGCTCAATTGGCATGTTGGGAAGGCTGGTTACATTGTATGTGCCAAGGAGGAGAATGGATGATCCTTCAAAATTCTAACCAGCATCGTTAAATGATTTGAGAGGTCTTTATTCCCTGAAGCTCCAGGAAATGAACAGTATGGAAACCTGTGATCTATCTGATTAGAGCCACCAGGAGTATGCTTTTCTGCAAGGGTAGTCAGAGAACAATTTTCTTAGGAAATATGTCGTCTTCCTTGAGTTTTCCACAGTTATTTAATGTATAAATACACCTCTTGCTAGTGCCAAAGTGGAAGCAGACTGGTCCCATATTGCTGAGCTTCACCGCTCCTACCAATGGGTTCCCACAGTTTGAAAAGCTGCCTTGGGAGCAGGTGCTGATGCACACATCTTGCTGTGGTGCAAAGCAGAAAGCAGCGTGCCAGAGGATATGTGGCTTCTCATACTATTCTGAGAGCAGTAAAAGAAAAAATGTGCGGATTTTTGCGAGCACATCTGTTTTCTTTCTGTGGGTTTTTTTCCCTGAACTAATCAGTGTTTGTCTGAAAAACCCTGTAGTTCAGTGACGTTTCTATGGCTGACCAAGTCGCTCCTTAGGTTTACCTCTGAAGGGTGCATAAACATGGGATGATGAAGTAACTCTGTACACCTCACAGATAGTGCTTTCTTGACAGCATTTGAAAAGTTAGACTGATCTGAAATGTGGCAGATGGATGGAATTGTTTCAGTGGGTCATGGGGTCTGTCAATCCCTAAACTGCACCAGCCAGGGTTTGGTAACTGATTCACCATTAGCTCTGGTCCCAGTGGCAGACATTAGAGATCTCACATCTTTATACCAGTGTATAACTGACATGATGCCACTACTTTACCAAGTGGTTGTTACAGGTGCTACTTCTTCCCACCAGTCTTCCAGCTGTGCAGAAGGGTTGATTGGCTTGTTATGAACTTTAATTCATTCTTTGTGCATAGGACTTTGAGAGTCTCTTGAAATAACTGAAAAAAATGCTAAGTGTTAGCAATGCTTTTGGGAATTGCTTTATCGCACTGTTACACTGCCACTTTGGTGGTTAGCTGTGGTATGTACCTAAATCTTTGGAGAGCAAAATGTAATGTCCCTGTTAAATGGGAATGGAGAATGATGTGAAATCTGTATGCTTCCCTTGCTCAGGATATGTCTGGAAATTATTTAGTTAGTTGATGAACAGCAATATCAACTTGCCAGGATGCTGGTGTGACTTAAAGCACCCATTTGCAGTACTCCTTCCTTTCTTTTTTTTTTTTCTTCCCCCCCGGTAATCAACACTGTCTTAAATGTAGCTTCTACTGACTTGAAACATCAGCCCATTTATCTGTTTCTGACCTTGAGGTAAAGGGGAGCTGCTTCAGCTGTGGAGTGTGGATGCAGCTGGGCAGTGTGTTTGCTGGCTTGCCAGGATGCTTGCCACAAATGAGCTGTGGCTGTATAGGTTTTTTTTAAGCTAGCACAGATCTGTGCTGACATGGAGAGCAAACATCCTTCATTGCTCTGTTTCTGGAATTATTCCTCTATCTCCCTGGATAGGGCACCAGCATTTGTGTGGCCATATAAACTAAATCATCTAATGCCTTTTCCCTTTCCTCCCCTCTACCACCTTCTCTGCTTTCTTCTGTCTCCTTTTCCCTTTCCCCTTCTTTTGTCTTGCCTTTCCTTGTCCTTCTGCCAGGCCAGTTACCTGATCTAGCTCACTGTGTGCCTTTGTGGGCAGTAATGCTGAAACAAGAGACATAGTGAGAATAAGTGCTTAGTGATGTGTAGATGGGCAGGACCATTCCATTCAGGGCTGGCACAAATTTCAGTTACTTTGTGTTCAGGCAGAATAGTTACAGGACTAATGCTGCCCATCCCTGATCTTCTGAAAGAGAAGCAGAAAGCAGTATGAAGTGCTTGTACTGAAGGACAGGAATCATGAGCTTCTTTCTATTAGAAACCTGAACGTTGCGTAGCATCTAGAAGAATGAGTTTGATCCTAAAGTTAGGATCTTTAGTGCCATTATTCAAAACCAATCTTCTCATCCCCTTTCAATGATTTAAGATTGCTTACTAAATTTTCAGGACAGCATGGATTAGGTGTGTGTATGACGGCAAAGGCATAATCAAGGATTGAGCAGAAATAAGGGGGACTACCACAACAATCATTAAGGAAAACTGAGTAATTACAAATCTTGACATTAAGATGCTGAAACATTCATACCCTTATACTGAAGTACCCAAGGGCATAGTGAAACTGAGGGAGTAATTAAGAGTGAAGCATGTAGAGGATGTTTACGTACTGGAATGATATGTATATATTGCTCAAAAGACTAGAGCTATTTCCAGAGTGGGAGAAACATACAGGAGAAACTAGACTTAATTAAGAAGAGTAATAATTGGGCTGGCTGTATTTCTTGATGAGCTCTATGTTGCCTAAGCAGCCTTTGAAGGAAAGCATTGTTCCTTATATATGAGACTTAAAAAGCTTCAGTGCTCTGGAGGGATCAATTGGAAATGTACAGTGGAGAACAATCTTGCAGTGGCAGAGATATGAAATACACCAGCAAATGACAGCTGTCTCACTCTGGAATTGCAACCTGCTTGCAAATTTTGGGGGAGTTTGTCAATTGATCCCTATCAGAGTAGTCACTTCTGTAGCTGGTCAGCTTGTTCATCTAATCAAGGCAAAGGCATGCAGAAATTAATATTTTAATTTTTCTCTGCTAACACACAGCAAATGAGTGTTCTTTTTTTGCCTCAGCTGCTATTACTACACAATCTGTAGTGACAGGAAAAACTTGAGGTACCAATCCTCAAAAAATTAAGTACATTTTAAAAAAAGAAATATAGCTAACTTATTTCACTTCCTCCTGTTCTCCAATCATAGCATTTATCCTCTGTAACTTGAAACAAATACTTGCACTTCTACATAATGCTTAAACAACTAATTGACCTGACACTGGAATTCCCGTGTGCTTTGCTGAGCTATGCTTTTGAATAATTTACCAAAAGAATGGTAATAAACTATCAAATATTAATCAAGCTTTCTAAGGAACATACGTTGGAGGGCTTCATCTAAGTTGCAAGTGTGTTAATTTCTCAGACAATCAGTGTAACTTTGTCATCGTGAACAACCGTATCTTGTGAGTTTGCCATCTTTCATCTCAGAGCAGCTTTTTGGTGATGCTGTGTTACAGCAGGCCAGTACTGATGTTCCTGCTCCAGGTATCAACTGGGCTGGAACCTGATGTCTCTGAATAGATAATATTGGCTGTAATCGTAGTGGTGTAAGAACATAACAGCCAAGCCAGTTCAGGTAGATAGTCCACATGAGTCAATATCCTGTCTTCAAGAGTGGTCACAAATAAGTGAGGGCAAAAGACAGTGCCAGAGAGCCTGGGCGCAGGCCAGCAACAGAACTGGCTTACAGTGATACCCTTCAAAAATGTTACCTCTTTCTGCAGAAGCATGTTTGGGAGGGAAACTGCACATCTTTTCATGTGTTACCCATTATGGGAAAAACTTGCTTTAGTTGTGATCCCTAATGATACTAATCATTTTAAACCTGCACAAATGGTAGTTTACTGGAACACTTTCTAGCTTTCCAGTCATCCTTAAATATGGAGTGGCCTCTATTTTGCAGAGCAGATTGTTATCAACTTATCTGTTTGAAGAAGAGGCTGGATGCTAAGAGCATTGGTGAATATTGATCATGAAAAAAAAAACCCAACAAAAAAAACAACAACAAACAAGCTACTTTTGCTCCAAAAGTATTGAGTTAGGTACTCTTCACTAGTTTATTTTTCTGTGTGACTTCCTAAAAAAGAGCTGCTGTGAGAGGAATGGCTATGTGTTACACTTGAGTTAAAAGTTAATGCTGTCAAAGGAATTCTGACCATCCCTTTGTCTTTGCCTCATCTTGAAATTTTGAGAAGGACACCTATTTTTTCTCTTTCTCAGCAAGATGGCTGCTCTTATGGGAATCAGGTATCACAACCTCAAAAATCACTGAAACAAGAATAATCAGTGGACATCTCCTAGAACTTTTAAAACTGAATTCTACTGAAGAGTGTTGAAAATATTTTGAAGTTGAAAATGTTGCTTTTATTAAGGTGGTTTATTCTCCATGTCCTTTGTGTATGCTCACTTTCAGCCTTCTTCTGAGACAGTCAGATGTACTCCCTGTGTGCTCTTCCATGCCCATTCTTTCTGACTCTTCAGGAACAGAGCTGCAGGAGCGATTCTATTCTGATCCTGAAAAAGTTGATAGTAATATATATTTTCTCTCTTTTCATACCTGTATGAAAGCTTAGCTTCTCTATCAGTAAGTATGTGTATTGGCCAACAGGAAAGTTGGAGAGATAGGAAAGTTGGAGAGATAGGAAAGTTGAAGTCCCAGTAGTTGGATATTTTGTGGATAACGCTCCGCCCAAGTTTATCTATGAACTAAAACTATTGTGATCTCATAGCTTCCAGTTGTTCTGAAGAGTTGAGCAGCTTCGTGTGGTTAACGATAGATAGGGCAGTAATGAAGAGAAGTGCTCATATGGAAATGTTCTTCTTCAATAATAGTCACTCCTGTTGAATGCAAGCCTTAGGGTCCTACTAGCTGTACTATACAATCAATAGCAATGGAGGTGAAAAATGTTAATTATTATCTGTGGCTGGCAAGGAGTTTGTGCTGGATCCCATTAATGCAAAACTGGCCTGTAGGACTGATGTAGTTCTAAGATATAGACTGGAACCATTGTGTTAATATATAGGAATAATTCATCATGGATTGAAATGGGAAGACTTGAAAAGGGTGCA